CAGCCCCCCCCTCGCTGTCCCCCACTCCCGCAAGCGTAAGATCGCCTGCGCCGTGTGCAGCTGCACTCTCCCACAAGAGCCAGCTGCAGGAGCACATGTACGCCCACACCGGCAGGCCGGCCCGCTACCACCGCTACAACCGCCTCTGCAGCCAGCTCTTCCAGGCCTCAGCCCACTTCTGCGAGGGCAGAACTGAGCCAGGGGGCGGGGCCTCATCCGGCGGCAGCGCCCCGCTCCCTGAGGAGGTCAACAGGGATAATCAGGACAACGGCAGCTCCTGCTACTCGCTGGACTCCGAGGTCTCCCAGGAGAGCGTGGACGGGGTGCCAGTGGAGTGATGTCATCGCCCGGACCGCTGGTGTCTGCGTGCACCGGGATCAATGACGTGATCAGTCGATTGACAGGGACTCAATCAACAAATATTTATACAGCCCATGGATCGTTTTCAATCATTTTATAAGAAAGCAAATCGGGGACTTCTAAATATTAGTGTTTTCCTACGATTCACTACATTCACTTCTTTGTTATCGAACAGACGATCAATAACGACTCCTGGTCCCGCCTCATGGGTTTGTAGAATCTTGATTTTCCACATTCACCAACGGACAGTGAATGCCTCATGTTGAGTTCAAACGCTCCGCTAATGTACTACACGTGATTAGTTGGGTGTGAAAACGTTTTAATGTGAAAAGACGCAGCAGTGCCTTCTTGAAGTTGTTTGTGTTGTTTCCATGACAAGAGTAGAGACTAAGATTAAAAACATCAATATTATTGATCAGTGCTTCATTATTGTTATCAGAACGTTAAAACAATAAAACAGGCGCTGATTTATTTATTTTGAAAGGGTGTTGAACTTCCTTTAATGTCACACAACCAATCATTGATGAGGAGTTGAGATGTCATTGATTATTGATGAATGAATGCAAGGTTATTTATTATTGATTGTGAATGTTCATTGTGGTCTCACTGTTAAATAAATCAGTGTTTTGTTTTATACAAAAACGTTTTTTATTTTCATTAATAGATGAAGTCTTTTTTCCACCAATCAGAAGCAGAAGGGAGCTTATGTTACCTGAGAGTGCAGAGTGAGTGGAAGAATTTATTATTATATTTTATAATTATTTTTATTGACCATGTTTTTAGCACTGTCACCTTGTCACTTTTAAGTTCTTCTTGTAAAGAATCTCATAGGAAGTCCTTACTGGAATACTAAAACAGCTCTAGTTTCTCTCCCTGAGGACATCTGAAGCCTTTGAGGGTTCTTTCATCTACGTCACAATCAAAAGCTCTGCGTTCTGACTAGAACGCTGCAAAATAAACTTCGGTCCAAGAGGAACAGCTGGTTATGTGACACAGGAAGTGAACGTCGGTCCTTTATTAATCACCGTGGGGAAATGATTCTCTGCTGCCGTAATGCGCCTGTGGAGCAGTTGGAGGTTAGGTGTCTTGCTCAGGGACACCTCAACACGGGACATGGAGCAGGCGTCAGAATAACTGAGAAGCAGTCTGCACCCTTCTGGTCTACCTGGGCTGGTCCTCCAGCAGCCCCATGGCTGACCACAGCGCTCTCTGGAATGGGACGTTTTGTCCTACGGAGGGACTTCCTGCTTGCGTCATCAGCTTCACCTCTGCTGCTCCCGTTGCCTAGCAACCTGAAGCGCTCGACACTAAAAGCCAAAAACGTGTAAAGTACAGATAGAGAAGGTAATCTTCTTCATAGTTTATTTAATTTATTTGATCCAGAGCATGATATATTTCAGGCTGGGAGAAGAACATTTAAACCAGCAGCCAACAGCAAACACATTTATTAACTTGTATGCAAGGAATGCAAAAAATGTCCTGCGTAGGATACAAGCTATTTTAACTGTAACTTAAGATATTACAGAATGTGTCCAAGCTAGAGCAGCTGAATGTCACCACACACATCGTTCTCCTTCAGCGTGATGCCGCTTCCTCCTGCTCCATGAAACACAACTAATAGTTTATAATCACACAACGAAACAAAAGGTTCTTTGTGACTTTATTCCGTAACATTACTGACTTGAAAAGTGATATTTCAGGTTCATAACTTGTCTGCCTGAGCTCACTTGATCCATTTCTGTTCATAATATGAAGTACATATTGTATATATATACATGGTTATAAACTAAGATGTTCTATATTCTATTATAACATTTATATCGGTAGATATTAGAGTGAATTCTATTATATTTAAAAGTCGGACGGCTATGACCCATAGATGTGTATATATATATATATATGTATATATATATATATAAAGGCGGAGTATAGAACGTCCGCACATGGAGGCCATCTTGGTAGGGAGAGCTCGCTCACCCTTAACATTGTGTTCTTCGTGGTACATGTATAATAACTTCAATCAATTTTCAACATATTTTTAAACGGTTTGGTTTGTTATAAACGTCAGAGATGTAGTTGAAGATTCTTCAAAGACATTTTCACCTCCTTGGCTGGTTCTTCAGGATGAAGTGCTGAGCGCTCTGTACCGTGTTCTGAAAGAAGGAAATATCTATATGTGTGTACAAATACACAAGCCTAACCCTAACCCACACACACACACATATATATTGCAAGGTGCAGGTGGGAGTTGAATATATATATATATAGTCTTTCTGATGTATGTACGTATATATCGCCTATATATATATATATATATATATATATATATATATATATATAATATTAGTGATGTCAAAATTAATGTGTTTATCTATAGGATTATTGGGGCCAAGATTAATGCCATAAAGTATTTTAACGCAGCTTTGTTTCCTCCCGGTGTGCGTTGACCCCTGACCCCTGACGCTGCCGCACGCTGCAGTCAGGTAGACGGTCGCTGAAGAAGGAGACGCTTTGCATTGGAAGTAAAACAAACAGAAGAACCGTGCAGAGGAATTCCTCCACACGTCAAACAGAAGGGGGACGAGTGCAAATGGACCACTTTAGGACTGATAGTGCCCAGGACATGTTGCTAGCTGCTAGGCTAAGCTATCTGCTAGGCTACATCCATCTCAACATCTACCTGCAGGGAACCACCACTGTGTCCCGAAAAGACAGTGGTTAGGGTTAGGGTTAGTAACCCTATATATATATATATATATATATATATATATATATATATATATATATATACATATAGACTACAGTATGCAAACTACAGTGTAATATTAAGCATAAATAAACTACATTACCTCCATCAGCATGGCCACTGTCATAGGCCCCACCCCTCCTGGAACAGGTGTGATGAAGCCGGCTCTTTGATTGGCTGAGGCGTAGTGGACGTCCCCGACCACACGTTTTCCGCTCGCCTTCGTCTCATCTGTTTGAAGAATGACGCAGAGGTCAAAGATTACAGAAAAACTCCCTCTATCATTTTAAATAGTGTTTTATGTTTATTTGTTAAGATGGCTCTGATGACAACATTTTATATTTCATGAACAATTTTATCACAAATTTCATGTGTTTTTTTCCCCATCTTCAATTCTTGATGTTTCAAATGTATAACAGATGTTAAATGATGCAGTACTAGTAGAGCGGTGAGTACTAGTGAGTACCAGATGTTAAATGATGCAGTACTAGTAGAGCGGTGAGTACTAGTGAGTACCAGATGTTAAATGATACAGTACTAGTAGAGCGGTGAGTACTAGTGAGTACCAGATGTTAAATGATACAGTACTAGTAGAGCGGTGAGTACTAGTGAGTACCAGATGTTAAATGATGCAGTACTAGTAGAGCGGTGAGTACTAGTGAGTACCAGATGTTAAATGATACAGTACTAGTAGAGCGGTGAGTACTAGTGAGTACCAGATGTTAAATGATACAGTACTAGTAGAGCGGTGAGTACTAGTGAGTACCAGATGTTAAATGATACAGTACTAGTAGAGCGGTGAGTACTAGTGAGTATCAGATGTAGTATAATATAGTACTAGTGTGTACCAGTGATACAGTACTAGTGAGTAACGTGAGTACCTGCTATGTGGTTGATTCCACAGTCGATGACCACCACGCCTTCCTTAAGCCACTCCCCTCTCACCATCTCTGCTCGGCCCGCCCCCACCACCAGGATATCGGCCCGGCCCACCTGCCGCACAGGAAACGCTTCATCTCACACTACCACGTCTCACTACTCTCAGTCACATATGAAACCACCGTAGAAAGGAGAGATCTGGTCCTAGTTCTCCTGGTCCAGGGCGATGCGTCACCTGTTCAGGGAGGTCGAGGGTCTTTGAATGACAGGTGGTCACGGTGGCGTGGTTCCACAGCAGCAGGTCGTGCATCGGGGCTCCAACGATCTTACTGCGCCCAATCACAACCGCATGTTTCCCCCCCACAGACACACCTGCACAGATACAGGAAGTCAGATAAGTGAGGCTCCAATTGGTCAGACATTCCAGGGTTACCTGTCTGTCTGATGAGCTCCATGCAGCCGCTGGGGGTGCAGGGGATGAAGCAGTGATCCAGATCCCCTCGAGACAACTTCCCTGCATTGATGCAGCTCAAACTGGACACATAAACACATGTTGTATACATGTGTATACATGTTGTATACACATATGTATATACATACGTATATATACATATATCAGGGCGGACTAACCCGTCCACGTCTTTCTCTGGACACACGGCGTTGGTGATAAGTTCAGAGTCGATGGAGGTCACGGAGTCCAGGGGAAGCTGGACTATCAGACCATGGACAGACGGGTTCTCATTGATGGACAGGATGTGCTGCAGGACCTGCAGGACCAAAGGGAGTCACCAGGTGGAGTTGTACAGGTGGAGGTAAACATATGGAGGTTAACAGGTGGAGGTTAACAGGTGGAGGTTAACGGGTGGAGGTTAACTGCTGGAGGTTCACGGGTGGAGGTTCACGGGTGGAGGTTAACGGCTGGAGGTTAACGGGTGGAGGTCCACATGTGGAGGTTCACGGGTGGAGGTTAACGGCTGGAGGTTAACGGGTGGAGGTTCACAGGTGGAGGTTAACAGGTGGAGGTTCACAGGTGGAGGTTAACAGGTGGAGGTTAATAGCTGGAGGTTAACAGCTGGAGGTTCACGGGTGGAGGTTCACAGGTGGAGGTTAACAGCTGGAGGTTCACGGGTGGAGGTTAACGGCTAGAGGCTAACGGGTGGAGGTTCACAGGTGGAGGTTAACAGCTGGAGGTTCACGGGTGGAGGTTCACAGGTGGAGGTTAACAGCTGGAGGTTCACGGGTGGAGGTTAACGGCTGGAGGCTAACGGGTGGAGGTTCACAGGTGGAGGTTAACAGGTGGAGGTTCACGGGTGGAGGAGTGTCACTGACCTCTTCCTGCGTTGTGGTTTTCGGTAATCTCAGATGTTTCGCTTCGATTCCAATCTGCAGATGAGAAAAGAGTTAATTGAAAAACATTCTCTGTAGCGATGATGATGATGATGATGATGATGATGATGATGAGCCACCCGTTGATGGATCAATGAAAGGAGCCGTGGTCTGATTGGTCCTCACCTCAGCTGCAGCTCGTAGCTTGGAGCTGATGTAGAGGTTTGAATCGTCTCTGTCTCCCACCTGCAACACAGTCCACGCCTTCATATCGCCGTAGCAACACCAGCACTAAAGTACTACACCTCTTTACCGATTGTACTTGTACTCTACTTTACAGTCTTTACATGTTCTGCTACATATTTTACTGCTTTTGTAGTTGAAGTAGTAATACTACAATGTAGAAGTACTCTGTCCCAAGTAAACATCCTGCTTGGTACAGAAGTAACATTAAAATATACTTAAACTACTACAAGCTAATAATAGTAATAGATTAATCTTATATATTATATATAGTTTATTAATTATTCTGAGACGTAGTGCAAATAGGTCTACCCCAGTACTGCAGTACTATGTATTAGTACTATGCGTTAGCAGTAGGGATACTGATTCTCAGATTAAAACACTGAAATAATCTAAATGTAATTTCTGATCTGAAACCATGACCACTAGGGGAGTTTTGGGACCACGAGTGGACTGGGACCAGCAGGTCAAACATTGGTGGGTCTCTGAGAGGAACTGGTTCTCAGTGGATAGAAGCTGACTGAGAGAAAGAGCAGCTGGGTAAACACAGCCGACAAAGACCAGTTCAGGGGGCAGAGTCCAGGTCCCCTGAGAGCAGCTCACTACATGTGGACGTTACCCTTCAATATGTCCCCTTATCTGCTTCAGAAAGAGCTCAATTTAAGGCAGAAGAACAACAACAAACAGAGCCTCACCTGTAAGACCACGAGACCAGGTCTGAACCCTGAGAAGGGACCCTTCATCTCCTCCACCTGGAGCTTCAGACGCTCCCTCACCAACCTGAGAACATAGAACAGGATCAGATCTAAAATAGACCAGGATCATACCCCAAAAAGAGACCAAGATCAGATCTTATTTAGACCAGGATCAGATCTAAAATAGACCAAGATCATATCCCCAAAAAGACCAAGATCAGATCTTATTTAGACCAGGATCAGATCTAAAATAGACCAGGATCATATCCCCAAAGAGACCAAGATCAGATCTTATTTAGACCAGGATCATATCCCCAAAGAGACCAAGATCAGATCTTATTTAGACCAGGATCAGATCTAAAATAGACCAGGATCATATCCCCAAAGAGACCAAGATCAGATCTTATTTAGACCAGGATCAGATCTGAAGCAGCTACAAAGATGGTAGCCGACCCCTCTCACCCCGGACCAAACCTGTTTGTGGCCCTTCCATCTGGCAGGAGGCTGAGGTCCATCAGGACTAAGACCTCATCAACAGAGCCGGTCCCCCACTGACTGACTGACATCCACTCACTCCCTTCACTCTGCACACGTGTCCCTTACACTCACAACACAGTTGAGTGGAGTATTATTATCTGTTGTATTTTTAACTTTATTCCTTTATTTTTAAATGGTTTATTCTGTATCCCTCTAGCCAATGGCCTTATATTTTGTTCTATTTTATTTTATTCCTCCTGCACTATGTTGTCTTATCTGTCTTGTTGTCCATTGTCTTGCACCAACCGCAAAGTCAAATTCCTTGTATGTCTGACGTATCTTGGTGATGAATGTTTCCTGATTCCTGATCTCACCTGGAGGTCTTGCTCCCGGAGACAACAGTTGCCATGGAGCACCGGATTTGTTGGCAAGCTGAGGACCAGAGATGGTGCGAGATGACGGCCAATGAGAACATATCTGGGAGGCAGACAGACAGACAGACAGAGGGACAGGTGGGACATCAAGTATGAAATATTAATAGTTTAAATGACATGATGGCTTCAAGCTGATGTTAAAATAAAATACTTCAAAGACAACACGTGTCTCAGTGAAACTTTAAGGCTGCAGCTCCCACCACTAACAACAGGAAACCTTCCCATCATGCATCTGTGCAGCTGCAGACATGCGTGAAGACGTGTTGAACAATGTGAGTGTATATTTGCGAAAGAGAGAGGGACTCACCTGAGAGAGAGAGGACACGTCTGAGAGAGAGAGGACACGTCTGAGAGAGAGAGGACACGTCCGACAGACAGAGGACACGTCTGAGAGCGAGAGGGACTCACCTGAGAGAGAGAGGACACGTCTGAGAGAGAGAGGACACGTCCGACAGACAGAGGACACGTCTGAGAGAGAGAGGACACGTCCGACAGACAGAGGACACGTCTGAGAGCGAGAGGGACTCACCTGAGAGAGAGAGGACACGTCTGAGAGAGAGAGGACACGTCTGAAAGAGAGAGGACACGTCTGAGAGAGAGAGAGGACACGTCTGAAAGAGAGAGGGACTCATCTGAGAGAGAGAGGACACGTCTGAAAGAGAGAGGACACGTCCGACAGACAGAGGACACGTCTGAAAGAGAGAGGGACTCATCTGAGAGAGAGAGGACACGTCTGAAAGAGAGAGGACACGTCCGACAGACAGAGGACACGTCTGAAAGAGAGAGGGACTCACCTGAGAGAGAGAGGACACGTCTGAAAGAGAGAGGACACGTCCGACAGCCTGATGTTTGTTCACTGCTGTGGGAGGACGTCAAGCTACGGAGGCTCAGAGGGGACAAAATACTGGCACACGTATGTGTGTTTACATGTACTGTATACACGGTATGCAAAGTATGCTGCACCACATCATAGAAATACAGAAACAAAGTACCTCACCAATGTAGTAGCAGTATGAGAGAACCTTTAGAGATCGGTTAATGTGTGTGTGTGTGTGTGTGTGTGTTTGACTAGTGAAGAGAATGGAGGTTAAAGGTCAATACTGACAGGTACTGTATACACACACACACACGCACGAATATATATACACACATCAACAACAACAACAACAGACCAACAACAGAAAAGCCCACAATCAACTCTTCATTGATTGATGATCACTGTGAGTTTGTATCTAAATCAGAAACAGAGCGCCCTCTGCTGGTCACATTCAGTCATCGGTCCTCCGTTTCTTAATGTTTTATAGCGCAGAGAAAATAAAGGAACAACAGATTCTAGAATCCCACTTTCTGAAACCTGTTCCACAGATTCATCGAGGACGGTTATGTAAGAACATTCTACTGCTTGTTCTGTCCCACCGTCGAGCCGTTGGGTGTGTGAGGGTCTCATTATGAGCCCCCAAGCCAATTACCCACAAGCCATTACAATGTGACGTTAAACACAAGTAACAGCATAAGGGCGTTAAAAAAGGTAACGACGTAAGGACGGCACGTGTGTTCACACTGTCACACAATACAATGTATACATTTAAAACATCAAAGATCTCATAAAGAAATACCCTGAAAGACGTTCAAATCAGAGTTAAACATACAACTAAATTCCCTCAATTGCAAATCCTTTTTTGTGAGGTTGTCATGGTGACTGTCCCATCATATTTCCACCTTTTAAAGCTCTCGTTTGTTTTCCAGTGGCAAGAAAAAATCAGCAAGTTGAGGTTTTATTCAACTTTTATTTTAGTATTGGTCATTCAAAGAGCAGCAGTTATGTGCTTTAACTATTGATAAATGGATACGCCCACCATGCGCGCGCTCAGATGCGGCGCCGAGTTCCCGCTGACCTCTGACCCCGCCCACATCCCGTGGACGCGCTGAGGACCGCGGCTGTGATTCACCGCGAAGGAGGAATACTCAGCTTCCTCCAACCGACCGAACGACAGACAGCGGGACACCGGACAGATCTCCCGGTAAGGACACGTTAACAGGAACCGGTCAATCCAGTTAAAGCTAAAAACCGTTAAAGTCCGTTAAATCTCGTTAAAGTCCGAACCGTTAAAGTCCGTTAAATCTCGTTAAAGTCCGAACCGTTAAAGTCCGTTAAACCTCGTTAAAGTCCGAACCGTTAAAGTCCGTTAAATCTCGTTAAAGTCCGAACCGTTAAAGTCTGTCCTTCTCTCTCGGGTCGTCTCCATGGAAACGCGTCCTGACCGGAGATCAGTCCGTTTATCAGTCCGTCATCGCATGACGTCACGGACCAGCAGGACGTTAAACGCGGAGAGTGTAAGAAGTCTGGTGGAAGTACTGATCCAACGTTATTCCCTGAGACAAAACATTAACATGTTTGATTTCAAGTCTTACATTTTAAAACACACACGCTGGAGTCACATGGGAATATGAATATACTACTTCTGTGTTTTTTGTTATAAAGTGAGTTTATAAGAAAAGTATTGATGACTTCACATCCATCTGGTTTGTTATTTATTTGAATACGTTTTAATTGGTTAATTAACACAAGAAGCACTTTTGTTTTCTGACTAAACAGTCCAATTTGGACCGTCAGTCTCTCTGCAGCTTCCTGTCGTCATGGCAGCCAAAACCAAATGGTGGTTATTGAAAGGCCGCGTAAGAGGAACACCCGGCCACAACCCGGGGGCCAAGTTGGAGGCCAACCTGGAGAACGCAGAACCTGAACTCTGCATCAGACTGCTGCAGGTAGTAACCCCCCCGGTTAAATGAGCTGGATCTATAGGACCAGGGCCGAGTGTAACTGATGTCAGTCCGGTGCGAAGGGAACTCCAGAGAGTCACCGGCACAGAAGACACTGAGTTGGCAGAGTTGCTGGATGGATGGATGGATGGACAGATGGACGGATGGATGGATGGATGGATGGATACTTTATTAATCCCCAGGAGGAAATTTGCGATAAAGAAGCCATTACTCCGGGCCGGACCCTGCTGGTTTATATTTAAAAGGTTTTCTCTCCCTCAAGAGAAGAAAAGCTTTGAATTTGAAAACCAAAGACCCCTCCACGATTCCTTTAGGTTACCACCGTTGTTAACTACTCTGGTCTGCGGCGTCGGTTGGAGACCAGTGATCAGGCCTGGATGGTCCAGTTTCTGGAGCTTGGAGGTTTGGACCTGCTGATGGAGGTTCTGGAGCGTCTGTCTGGTCGCGGCTGCGCTCGCATTGCCGACGCTCTGCTGCAGCTCACCTGCGTGACCTGCGTCCGAGCTGTAATGAACTCATCTGAAGGTCTGCACTTTTTTCTGGAGAACCCGGCCTACGTCAAGACCCTGTCCCAAGGTGGGGTTTCAAACATTCTACCTTTGCTACTTCTTTTTTTCTGTTTTCTGTTTTTGATTTCAGGGGCGGAGTCATTGCCTCTCCTGATAAGCTCTTTATCTAATGTACATCCTATCCAATGCTTCCAGTCAAAATACAGTCTCTCCTACTTCTACCCACATCTCTGGGGTCTTTCCCTGTTTCATTCAAATAGAGAGAGAATAAAGGAGACAGACGTCTGTTAGACTTATTAGACCTAGACAACTTTGACCTTCTTATTCAATGGCTTTTCCACAACCCTTCCATTAGTCCTTCTTTGCTTCCATCAACCTCTGCTTGGTTCTTCAGGTTTTTCAGATCGATCTTCTTATTGTTTACTAAGGAGTAACAAGACGTGTTTCTGCATCCTCTTCTTCTCACTGTGTGTCCTCAGCGCTGGACACGTCTAACATCATGGTGAAGATGCAGGTCTTTGAGCTGCTGACAGCCCTGGCTCTCTTTGATGCTCAGGGACACCACCTGGCCCTGGATGCCCTGGACCACTACAAGGTAACCACACAGATCACTCTTCATTTCAAAGGTCTCAGGAGGCCAAATCTGTCTCTAATCGTGTTTGAGGACATTCTCACGTGTCTCTGGTCTGAATGTGTTTCTGCTCCCCACCAGACTAAAGCTCAAAGATGCTGACATCTTCAAAGCAGATAGTAGAGAAGGAAATCTTGACTGTACTTTACTTCTGACATATGTTATTATTTTTCAGTGATGTTTCTCTGGTGTGTGGTCTCTATGGCAGAACATTTTAATATTTAAAAGATGTAAACAAGGCTGTGAATTCACTACTTTACATTTTGATTGTTATAAAACAGGACTGAGATGAATCCTAACCGTCCGTTTGCAGAGCTTCATTATCAGCTGTGAACTTTTCTCTTTGTTGTCCTTCTGAATCCCGGTCGTCTCTGTCGCTCCACTGATCAGATATCTGAGAATGTTTTATATCTGCCAGAGAGGTGTTGTGTAATGACTGAGGATACCATCTCACACAGAGAGGCCAAACACAGGCCCAATTACCTGTGTTGTGTGTTCAGAGTCTGAAGAAGCAGCAGTATCGCTTCAGTGTGATCATGAACGAGCTCCACTGCACCACCAACCCCCCCTACAACGTAACACTCATGAGCTTCATCAACAGCCTGGTGATGGGACGAGAAGACCTGAGGAGGAGGAGTCGCCTGAGACAGGAGTTCATCGGTGAGACCAGTTCCTCAGTATGATAAGTACACAATGATGATTCTCACCACAATATTGTAGATTACAAGAATAATAGTGACAATAACAACGACACAAAAACAGTCAGTCAGCCATCTTCAAAGCCGCTTATCCCTCATACGGGGCGGCGGGGGGGTCAATCCCAGCCAACATTGGGAGAGAGACGGGTACAAAACACTGCCTTGCCACAATAAATGTTGCCCCCAAACAGCCGTAAAAGGGTTACGCATGATATCGGTGAGGTGACCGGTGGTTGCTATCAGTCTCTAAATGGTTACTATGGCAATCTTGGGGATTAGTGCGGTGCCTTTAATTGCTAGTTGCTATGGAACATGTAAATGGTATTATAAGAAGTTTTCTGGGATGAGGTGCTTACTTGGGTATTTATATGTGGCTGCCATGGCAATAAGGGCTTTCTAGGTTAGTAACGAGTGACTGCCCCACATTTCTAAATGAAAATATGACATTAGTTTTGTTACCATGGAGATCAGGATCTGATTCTCTCACTAAAACCATGTTGTTACAGGACTGCAGCTGCTGGATGAGCTCCCCAGACTGAGGTAAAGACGTAGTCAATTCTATCACTAATGATCAATAATCAACATCCTCATCATTGTGGGACCTCCGTCTGTCTCTCGCTGTCCAGGGAGACGGAGGACCATGACCTGAACATCCAGTGTGATGCCTTTGAGGATTCACTGACGGAGGACGAGGAAGAGATGGAGAAGCTCTACGGAGGCATCGACATGAGCAGCCACCAGCAGGTCTTCACCTCTCTGCTCACCAAGGTAGCTTCCACCCAAAGACGCGTCCACCTACATGATTACAGTGATAAGTGCTTCTAGACTCCCCCCTCAAAAGTCTGAGTGTTGTAATAAAACCCAAACGTGCTTCACTAAAGTATTAGTTTAGGCGGTGGGAAAATGTATGCAACCAGGTAATTGTACGTTTTTTTTGTAAGGTAAAGTTCATACATAATTAGTTTTTTTCATTTTTTAAACTTTATTAAAACCTGGATTTTTAACAAGAGGGTGTAGACTTTTTATATCTACTGTACAGAACACCACCTAAATACCTCCACCATCCCCAACATCTTCACCTCTCTGTTTACCAAACTAGCCTCCACGTACAGCACGGGTATTCATTCTCCTCCTCCTCCCTGTGTTCAGGTGGCCAGCAGCCCATCCTCGGCCCAGCTGCTGTCCATCCTGCAGGCCTTGCTGGTGCTGGACCCGGGGAGGTCTGAGGTGTGGCTGTCTCTGGAGCTTCTCACTGATAGACTCACACTGATGTCCCAGCCCTGTAAGTATTGATGTTATAATTGGAAATTACATTACATCACATGTCATTTATCTGACGCTTTTATCCAAAGCGACTTACAATAAGAACATTTCAACCATAAGGACACAAACACAGAAGAACAAGAAACAAGAAAGTGCAATTTCATCAAATAAGCCAATTTACAACTTGCTGTAGATAAGAACCATTATAAGTCCAATGTAAGTGCTACAGTTAGTTAGTGTGTTAGTGGAGGTAGAGTCTGAAGAGGTGTGTCTTTAGTCTGAAGATGTGAAGGCTCTCTGTGGTCCTGATGGCTTCAGAGACCTCCTTCCACCATTTAGGAGCAGGACAGCAAAGAGTGGAGATCTAGTCGAGTGTTTTGCTCTCAGTGAGGAGGAACAAGCAGTTTATCACATGCAGAGCGGAGAGGTCAGAGGTCGGGATGTCGGGTTGGACCAGGTCCTGGATGGAAGCTGGACCCCATCCATTCACAGCATGGTACGTGAGCACCAGTGTTTAGAACTGGATGAGCCACCGGTACCAGTGAAGAGAGCGGAGGAGTGGAGGAGTGTGGGAGAACTTAGGAAGGTTAAAGACCAGTGGAGCTGCTGCATTCTGGATGAGCTGCAGAGGTGGAATGGTGGTAGCAGGAGACCTGCAGGAGAGAGTTACAGTAGTCCAGGAGGGAGATGACAAGACCCTCAATCAGTACCTGCGCCGCCTTCTGAGTGAGAAGAGGACGTGTTCTCCTGATGTTGTAGAGCGAGTATCTACAGGATGGTGTTGTCAGTGATGTTGGAGTCAGGGAGAGTCGGCTGTCGATGTCACGCCGAGGTTCCTGCAGTCAAAGTGGACGTTAACACGGAGTCTCAAAGTTAACAGTCAGGTCCCGTGAAAGAGAATCTTTCCCCAGAAAGAGTAGTTCCGTCTTGTCGGGGTTGATTTTCAGATGGTGGGCGGATCCACTGAGAGATGTCAGTCAGACAGGCAGAGATCAGAGTGAGGGAAGGAGAGAATTAGTCGGTGTCATCGGCATCGCTGTGGTAGGAGAAGCCATGCTAGCGAATGACAGCGCAGAGAGAGTTGGTGTAGAGCGAGAAGAGGAGGGGACCCAGGACGGAACCCTGAGGAACTCCAGCAGTAAGAGGACCAGGTTCCGACACAGATCCTCTCCAGGTTACCCGGTAGGTGCGGCCGTCGAGGTAGGACGAGAGAAGGGAGTGTCAAGGAGGTTGTTACGGTGGAGATAGGAAGAGAGTTTTGGACAGAAAGGGAAGAAGAGAGACCGGTCTGTAGTTGTTTTCTTCAGAAGGGTTGAGGGTGGGTTTCTTCAGGAGAGGGTTAACTCTTGCCTCCTTCAGAGAATTGGAAAATGGACCAGAGAGGTAAAACCAGGTTCTCCTTCGGTCCTCATCACTGTCTTTTCTTTTAAAATTAGATAATCAGCATTAAACGTTGAGTTCCTCCATCACGACTTACTGACTGACCCATGTGTCCTCACACAGCCTCCTGACTACACAGTTTGTGTGTTTTGTAGTTGACCTGTCTACCAACTCACTGCTGGAGAGACTCCTCCCCCACAAGTCCCTCTCAGCCATTCACAAGATACAAACCATCGACAGGGCGGTTCAGACTCGACGAGCAGAAAGTGCATCTGGTTCTCTATGGGTTCCTTCCTCCTCCTTACCTGGAATGGGAACTGCTCCCCCTCCTCCCCCTCCGCCATTACCTGGAATAGAAGCTCCTCCACCATTACCTAGAATGGGAGCTCCTCCCCCTCCACCATTACCTGGAATGGGAGCTCCTCCCCCTCCACCATTACCTGGAATGGGAGCTCCTCCCCCTCCTCCCTTGCCTGGAATGGGAGCTCCTCCCCCTCCACCATTACCTGGAATGGGAGCTCCTCCCCCTCCTCCGGGTGACATCATTTCTGCCCAGGCAGCTCTGCGCCTCAGGTCATGTTGTAGCCCCGCCCCCTGTCCCACCCGCCGTATGAAGAAACTGAACTGGCAGAAGCTCCCGTCCAGAGCGGTGACAGGTGAGTGTTGTGGGGTTAGCATCTCTGTGTATTACGGTATTGTGTCTGTAATACATAATACCGTAATACATGTATTTATGTAATGATGTGTGTCTGCAGCACAACAGTCCCTGTGGACGTTGGTGTCTTTAGAATCACTGGAACCAGATTACTGCAGCATTGAGCAGCTCTTCAGTCTTCCTCCAACTGAGACCAGAACCAAAGCCCAGGCCAAGCCCAAAGAGGTACACATCACACTTGGGGGCATAGACAGGTGGACAGACTGCAAGCAGAAGGTCCACTCAGGCTCTTCTCACCTCATTGTCTCTTTGTCCACAGATTTCATTCATCGATGCCAAGAAAAGTCTAAACCTCATCATCTTCCTGAGGCAGTTCAAATGGTGACCAATCAAACCAATCAAAAGAAACATATCACGAGAGTGACATCGTCCTCAGTCCAAAGAAGTCTGAGACAAGTGAAGGACTGGTGAAGTCTCTCACCTGTCCCATGGGTTCTTCCTGAACTTCACATGTCCTCAAACTGTCCTTTATGTTTTATCTGTCTGTCCCATCTCACCTGTCTCTGACCGTTTCATTTTTTCTGTTGACATATTCTTTACCTGTCCTCCTCTTACCTGCCCTCCACCTGTCTTCTGTCTGCTGTGGTCTTCAGGAATCAGGAACATTTATTGCCAAAGTATGTTAGGAAACACAAGGAATTTGACATATGGTGGTGCATACCATTGGACAATAAGACAATGAGACGATGGACAAGACAAATAACACTGGGCAAGAAAATATTACATTTTCAATTTAAATGTACAGTACAATATAGAAGTACAGCTGTACTGTGAGTGTACGTGAAAGTGATCACGTCCATTTACAGATGGAGTATGGAGGGATGGAAAAGGGGATGTCAGTGGGGGGACGCGGCCTCTTCCAACAGGAAGAACCTGTTGGTGTGGCGGGAGGTCTTAGTCCTGATGGAGCTCAGCCTTCTGCCAGATGGAGGGGGGGGTGAGAGGGGTCGGCCCTTCAGTTGGTCCTCATTGTTTTATACTTAACTGACTTTTCCTTTGTACGTCTTCCCGTCTCGCCTGTTTCCTGTCTTTCTTTCCTCAGTTCCCATGAGGACTTTGTGTCTCTAATCTGGAAGGGAGACAGGTCCAGGTTTGACGTTGAGCTCCTGAAGCAACTGATAAAACTCCTACCTGAGAAACATGAGGTCAGAGGTCAAAGTGACACTAAAACACCTGTCCTCCATCTTGTCTGTGTCTTGTCTGTCTCATGGTTCCCTCGTATGTTATCTGCCCGACGGCTTCGCTTGTCTCACTGTGACAGAAAATATGCCTTTACATCGCTACATGTATTAATATACATGAAACAAAATGTTTTGTTGAAAATTAAATTAAACCCCCCAACGGGATTTGATAAAAACTGTTGTGATAATAATAATAATTTTATTGTGTAAAATATAAAGAACAACTAAAATGCTTTGGCTGCTTGGTGAGAATATTCACTTTAATATTGTAAGTAAAAATATAAAATTGTAAACCAGCACTAAACTTCTTATGTTAATCAATGTCGTTCATCAGCAGTATGAAGCGTTCTAAGATCATATGAATAATCCGAATGAACAATATTCATGTTCAGAGACCGATAAAAGCCTCGTACACACAAAACTGTTTCTTTCATGTAATCCAACATTTACAACTTGACTTCATTCATTCATTTCCACATAGAATAACATTTCTCATGAAAGCTCCAAAATGAATAAAATGATATTTGTTGTCATACCATTCTATGAACATTTTATACAAATTCAGTGTATTTCAAAGTATTTTGTCATATTTAAACCTCACCTGTTCCCGTCAGGTAGGGAACCTGAAGTCACACCAGGCCGACGAGGACATGTTGTCTCCGGTGGACCAGTTTTACCTGAAGCTGCTTGACATCCCGTGGTAGGACTGATCTCCGTCATCAGACGACCCCTGCAATGAGCTCGCAGTTTATAATGTGCATGCTAAGCTAACAGACTATTACACACTCAGTTCAAATGTTCAAGCATTAAGTACCCATCTGTTCCTGTGTGTGTGTGTATGCGTGTGCGTGTACGTGTGCGTGTGTGTGTGTGTAGCTACCCTCTGAGGCTCGAGTGCATGTTGTTGTGTGAGGAGAGCAGCTCTCTGTTGGAGACTCTGAAGTCCAGAGTTGAGCTGCTGGATCGAGCCTGCCAGAGTCTGTATACAAACCCAATACACAACAAGGACACACTAAATACATATAAGCTCCAGAGGATGGCTGTGTTGATTGCTTGAGTATTGCACAGTATTACATGAGGCCGTGTTGTGTTACAGTGTGTCATCGTACTGTGTTGTGTGTCCAGGTGTGAGGGAGAGCTCTCGTCTGCCCCCCTTCTGTAAACTCATCCTGAGTGTGGGGAACTTTCTCAACTATGTGAGGTTATTCTTCGTTACTATCAGACCCGTGACATCACGTCGATGCGTGACGTCACGGCGTCGATGCGTGAGTTACGGCGTCGATGCGTGAGTTACGGCGTCGATGCGTGACGTCACGGCGTCGATGCGTGACGCCACGGCGTCGATGCGTGACGTCACGGCGTCGATGCGTGACGTCACGGCGTCGATGCGTGACGTCACGGCTAAGGTGCTGCTGTTTTTTATTTTCATTAGGAAACACAAATACAAGTCTGAGGATGAAAGGAATTCTTTCTTTGAATGGTCAAACACATTGAAAATGTTACTTGTATCCTGTGATGTCATCAGTCATTGTGTGATGTCATCATATCAGGGGACTCACACAGGAAGCGCAGAAGGTTTTAAGATCAACACTCTGCTCAGACTGACAGAAACCAGAGCCAACAAGTCCAGAATCACCCTGCTGCACCACATCCTGCAGGTAACACTCCATACTGGAATCAGGAATCATTTATTACCATAATATGTCAGACATACAAGAAATGTGGCGGTTGGTGCGTAACAGCAGACAGTACGACAATGGACATACAACAACATAGTGCAAGAAGAATTAAATAAAATATAAGGCTATGGGGTAGTTTAAAAATAAAGGAATGACATTTTAAAAAGTGAAAGTTAAAAATAAAGTGCACCAGCGAACAGAAAGTGACGTGTGCAGTGTGACCGGTGGGATGTCAGAGTCAGTCAGTGGGGGACCGGCTCTGTTGATGAGCCCGACTGCCGACGGGAAGAAACTGTTGGTGTGGCGGGAGGTCTTAGTCCTGATGGACCTCAGCCTCCTGCCACATGGAAGGGGCACAAACAGGTTCTGTCGGGGTGAGAGGGGTCGGCTACCATCTTTTTAGCTGCTTCAGAGACCTGGAAGCGAACAAGTCCTGCAGGGACGGCAGGTTGCAGCCGATCAGCCTCTCTGCAGAGCGGAGGACACGCTGCAGCCTGCCCTTGTCCTTGGCTGTGGCTGCAGGGTACCAGACGGTGATGGAGGAGCAGAGGATGGACTCCATGATGGCCGTGTAGAAGTGGACCATCATCGTCTTTGGCAGGTTGAATTTCTTCAGCTGCCTCAGGAAGAACAACCTCTGCTGAGCCTTCTTGGTGATGGAGCTGATGTTCAGCTCCCGCTTGAGGTCCTGGGTGATGATGGAGCCCAGGAAATGGAAGGAATGGCAGAAGGTGGGGCTCTGTTCTTCCTGAAGTCCACAACCATCTCCACTGTCTTCAGAGCGTTGAGCTCCAGGTTGTTCTGACTGCACCAGGACACCAGATGGTCAGACTCCAACCTGTAGGCCAGAGAGATCAGTCCAATGAGGGTGGTGTCATCCGCAAACTTCAGGAGCTTGACGGACTGGTGGCTGGAGGTGCAGCTGTTGGTGTACAGGGAGAAGAGCAGAGAGGAAAGAACGCAGCCGTGGGGGGGACCGGTGCTGATGGTCCGAGAGATCCTACTGGGCCTCCTGCTCATACTGGTTCCACTGGTCTTACCGGTCCTCCTAGTGACACTGGTTCTTTATAACTCACATGCTGTTTGTGTTGTCTAAAGGAGGCAGAGAAGAACCACCCCGACCTGTTGAACCTGCCGGATGACTTGGAGATCTGTGAAGAGGCTGCTGGGTAAAGATGAGACCTTCGTCATGAGAACATCCTGTTGCCTCGATGTCCAATGTTGAGTTTGTTTGTTTTTAGATTGAATCTGGATTTGATTCAGTCTGAGAGCAACATTCTGACCAACCAGCTGAGGAGTTCAGAGAGTAAGGTCTGCTGTTCCTCTGAGGACCTGAAGGAGCAGTACCTGCCCCCACTCCAGGTAGACTGCGCATGTTCTCAGGTGCACAGGTCTGTGTGTTTACTTGCTCATTGCCTTTTTCTTCTTGTGGTGTCCATCTCCAGGAGTGCCTGGGTGGATGTGAGCAGCTGCAGCAGCTGTTGTCCTCCTTGGAGGACCGAAGGACAGCTTTGTCTGTCTACTTGTGTGAGGACAGCAGCAGCTTCTCCATTGACGAGCTACTCAACACCATCAAGACCTTCAGAGGCTTGTTCCTCAGAGCCAAGAAGGTCAGAAGCCAACCACAGGCCGGTGTGGCAGCACACAGTCTACTCGCATGCCGCTGTACGATGGGGAAAACAGGAAGTGAACCACGTGATTAATGAAAAGAATCACTCTTCAGGAGAACGAGAGTCGCATGCAGCTGGACAAGAGGAGGAAGCTGCAAGAGGAGGACGGGAAACTCAAAGGAAACACCAACAAGATCAGTGAGTCCACCTTCAATTCAGTCAGACCTCTGACAGCCTAAGAAGATTTAAAACACTGCTAAGTGTTTGTCCTCCAGTCAGAAACGACGTGTCCAATGAGGGCAAAGGCTGCATCATCGACAACCTGCTGTCTGAGATCAGGAATGGCCACAACCTGAAGAGGACCAGACCACCACCTCCGAGGGGCGGCAGAGACCATGGTGAGCACTGTGGTGGACTGTGATTGACTCTGGTGGTCTGTCAAGCTTCTGACTCTATGTTGTCTTCATCAGATCATCCTGGGATTATACACAGATCATTGGCTGCGAACGAGCCTGATCCGTCTGTTTTCAGCCAATCAGAGAAGCCTGCAGAAACACAGAAGAAAGTCCAGACCCCCTCCGAACCCCAGGCCGAAACAACACCAGAACCCGGGTCAGCTCAGATTGATGGCAGTCTCGCAGAGACCCAGAACTCCTCTGATCCCCACACCTCTAAGGCTGCTGCCAACAGAGAGCAGGACGAGAGCCAGACGGGGCTCTGGGACTCTGTCGCTCTGGAAAACAACGATGATCCACGTTCTCTGGAACCAGCAAGGAATTCCAGGACCAGTCCTGAAGTTAGTAGACGGTCCCGTTAACGGGTATGTTGACGTCCTCTCATTAACGGCTACATGGAAGCCATCTCGGTAGCGGGTACGTCAACCTCCCCTTGTTAACGGGTACGTGAACGTCATCTTGTTAACGTGTACGTGGGAATCCCCTCGTTAGCGAGTACGTGGAAGTTCCCTCCACTTTCTGTAGACGTGTAACTAACTAATCAGTGTATGTTTGACCTGCAGGATCAGAACCGGGATCCAATCACAGAGCCAAGAAAGGACGTGTGTCACACTGAGGATTTCCTCTTCCGTGATTGGCTGACGAGAGTTCCCCTTTTCATGGTTATTATTATTATTATTTTTGTTGTTGTTATTGTTGGTTTTATTATTGCTAATGGTTTCAGCATGAAGTTTTAATGATATTAAATTGGGTTTGTTTATTATTTTTAGTTTGATTGTTGATTAGACAATCATTTCGATTTGAACTTTTATTAATATCTTTGCTGTCAGTTAAAGTACTACATTCAGTAGACGTATAAGTACTCACTTTGTAACATTGTCTGTTATCTGATATGATTAGATGGTGATTAACATGTTGAACATCTTCATAAACTTAATAATAAAATTGTATTCTTGTTGAAACGTAATACTACATATATCTACATATACTACATAACTACGTGAGCCACACTAAGTTGTGTCAAAGCACTTCTTACTTTAAAATGCTGAGATTAAAGGTGACAGCATCATAATAATGAATAACAAAATCATTATTTTTCAATATTAATGATATGAAATGTTATGATGACATCATCATCGAGGTGACGTCATCCAGAGCCAGATTTGTCCTTGCCGCTCCAATGGTCACGTGACTCCACCCCTGAAGTATTCACATGTAATTATTGCCATGATAATATGAAATAATTATATTAATAATCACCTGACATGATGTGCACTCCGTCTGGAAACCAGCCTGCCTTCACAGTAAGAGCACACAATACAGTTAAAGGAATAGTTATATTTCATATTTATGTTATTTTATGAAACATTCAAATGTTTCACTAATCAAACATATTCATTAACAACTTTCTTACCATTATTATCTAACAAACAGAATACATAATCTTTATTGTATTGAATCAAACTCAATGTTAGGATTATCAATGTAACCGATATTCAGCTTCTGTTTGCATTAAACTGACAATAACTGCCTCAATAAGGGTTTTCTTCAGTTTATTGTTCATCTGTCGAACCGGAAGTAGAATCCTACTCTTATTAAAATGTGGTTATTATAATTGCTTTATGTACCTGAAGTCTAGACTGATCTATAATTGATTTCACATAAACATTTTAAATAGCAGGTCATCCATGTTTGAGTATTGCTTCAGTGATTGAGGTCTGCAACCAGACTGCGTCGCTGTGATTTTCCTCCCGAGACTTTTATTTTGAAGTCTTCCGGTGCGCGTTGACGCAGCGGGTGGCAGCTCGTGCGTCAGGAGGAGACAGAGATGCCATAACAGCAGCATCACCGGCCGTTGATTCCGTCTCATCTGCTCCCTGTCGGTCCGCGCACCCGGTTCCGCTCCTTACCGGGTCGCCTCTCATGCTGTGGCCGCGTAGCAGCGCGTCAGTCCGGCTGTGATCGGAGGAGAGAAGCGGCGGAGCGTTGGCAGCATCTGGAGGTGAGAGATGGGGGGGGGGGTAGGGCGTGGAGGAGGGGACCAGTCGGTCTGCATGTTGGTCCGGTTATCTGTCCGTCTCTCACCCCTCCTTTCTGTCCGTTCGAAGCCAAAGACGAACCTCTGAAGCCCGCAGGGCTTTTTATCTCAACCGCTACCGCGCGCGCGTAGTATTAAGTGTGATGATGATGTCATACACATGAACAGGTTGACTTCTCCAAGGACACGTCAGGTCACATGATGTGAAACATTAGACTACATATACAAATATATATATATATAATATTATATGTACACGTGTATAGAAAAGTAATAAATATATACACATATACAATATATACACACACACACACATATATATATATATGTGATTTGTCATTTATGTCATTTATATATATGTGACATGAGGATGAAACGTGTCTCGCTCACCTGTCTACCTCGTTTTCCCAGGATGCTCTGGGGTTTCCCAGCAGTCCCTTGAAGATGAGTGTGACGTCATGGTTCCTGGTGGGCAGCTCGGGGACTCGGCACCGCCTTCCCAGAGAGATGATATTTGTGGGCCGGGAGGACTGTGAGCTCATGCTGCAGGTGAGTCATTGATCATTGATGAATCGATCAGGTGATCGTAGGCACCGATCAGGCGATCAGGGTCATAGATTAGCTGATCGGAGATACCGATCACCAGATTGGAGTCATCCATCGGTCTATTGATTAAGGGGGTGATTTTATTCATTTCATTGATGAAGTGACCAAACAGAGAAATTAAACCAAATGTAAAACATCAAAGCATGTGAAGATTGTTTCAGTGTGTACATATGTATGCATGTATATATATATATATACATATATACTACTACTTGCAGTTTTAAAAGTTTCACAATAAAAGCATTCTCGAACAAGCAATAATTGTTAGTGTAGCAGGAGGTTAGTTGGTACTCAGATCAGGTGGTGATGGACCCACTAGCTGATCAGGAGCCCCAATTGTGGGAACCGGTTTCTTACCGATGACCCAGTAACACCTGAGACTCAGTATGAAACAGCTGAGAGGTCAATAAGAGCTGATCAGATTGATTAGAGGCAGAAGGGAAGCGTCAAAATTAAAAGAAAATTAAGGAAAAGTTATAAGTACGTTTGGAAATTAATTTTGCGTTCAATGATTTGAATAATTGAAATAATGATTTAAAAATGCTAGTCTGGATTTAATTGTCTCTTGTCTTCAGTCTCGCAGCGTCGACAAACAACACGCCGTCATCAACTACAATCCCACCACCGACGAGCACCTGGTGAAGGACCTGGGCAGCCTGAACGGGGTGAGTCAAGCTGCCAGCAACCCATCAGCAACCGCAAGGTTCACAGTAGTAGTCGCTGCAGGGTCTTGCTGCATATGGCGGGGGGGTTGCTATGGAAACTTGGCTCAGATGGTTAGTGAGTGGGGTGGGGTGGGCAGGACCTCCTCTGTCTTCCTCAGCTTGTCCTTTAGCCGCTTCATCGATCTTTAGTTTCCGTTTCGCAGCACGTTTTAGAAGCTTTGTCACTTGTAACCTGACCCATTGCCCCTCCAATCATTTCTTCAGTCGTGTCAAGATACTTCTTGCCATGTATACAGTTTAACAGGTTACTCTGTACAATAAAAGTCTTGTTTTCCTATGCCCTCCTTCCACATAGCTACAGATGTAAAAAGAGAAGAATAATGATTAAACAGTCAAATGTGTAGAGTGATTCTGAATGTTAACCTCTGGTTCTTGATGTGCTAAAGTCACCATGGGGGCTACAAATGACTCTTCTTCTCTCTTGATTTATTCCCTCAGTAAACTTAAAAATAAGCTCATGGTCTCAGTCTCCCGTTTCAAGTCTTCCTCGTTGTAGCAGGTAAATTATGGTCCATTTAGTGACAAACAGACCATGAAGCAGGGGATGCTTTAGGGCGGGGCTACACGCTGATTGACAAGCATCTAACAGACGTATACGTCGTCTCTCCTCCTCAGTCCTTATATGCTCACTTCCTCTTCATTGCTCGCTAAAAAATAAGATGGAAAAATTAGAGAACTTGAGGTTTCAAAACCGTGAGACGACTACGTCCACTTCTTGCAAACAGTCTATAATGTAAACCAATCAGATGGCTTGATTTGAGCTGCCTGTATTCTTTTAATAATGTGACAGAAAATACTTTGTGTTGTTCAACACAGACATTCGTGAACGACCTGAGGATCCCTGACCAGACGTACATCACCCTCAAACTGTCCGACATCATCCGCTTTGGATACGATATCCTTCATCAGTGTGTGTGTGTGTGTGTGTGTGTGTGTGTGTTTTATAACGTCACTCCGTTTCTTAACCTCTTCATCACATTCTCATGTCTACATTCTGGAGAAAAGTCAGCACACAGTCCCAGAGGAGGCTCTGAAGGTCAGTGTCTCTTTGTGTCTCTCTGTGTGTGTGTCTGTGTGTGTCTCTGAGTGTGTGTTCTCTTGTTCCAGCATGAGAAGTACAGCAGTCAGCTGCAGATGAGTCTGAAGTCTTCAGAAAAGAAGGAGACGGATGTGGAGGACCGAGCGAGACTGGAGAAAACCCAGAGTACAAAGAGTACACAAGGTACATGAAAGTACATCAAATTACTTACTAAATCATCATTCAATAAATATTACTACAAAAAATCAGAACATCTCTGCAGCGTCCTGTCCAATCAGAGGCCACGAGGCACTTGAACAGGCTGACACTGTGTGTCCGTGTGTGTTCTTCAGAGACCCCGGGGAGTCAGCCCACTCCTTTGTACGGTCAGCCATCTTGGTGGGGAGAAGAGGATTATGGGAGTAAAGTTCAAAGCAGCGCCGAACCTCATGAAGGTAAAGCTATATTTACCATCACATTTACATGACTTCAAAGTGACTTACAATAAGTACAGAACCGCAACAACAACAATCAAGAAATATTTTTTTTCAAGAAAGCAAACTACAAATTGCTATAAGTAAATGCCATCGTTAGGGCTAATAAAGTGCTACCTAGTCTGGGTGTAGTCGGTAAAGTTGTGTTTTTAGTTTTCATCGGAAGCTGTAGTGACAATAGGGATTAATTATTCCATTTAGGAGCCAGGCCATCAAACAGTTGGCATGTTGTTGAGTGTTTAGCTCTCTGTGAGGGAGCAACAACAAGATTGATCCAGAGTGATCCAAGCCTGATCAATCCAGGTAAGGTTGGACCATGTCCTGGATGTAGACTGGATCCGATCTGTTGGCCAGACGGCACCAATGTTTGAAATGGATGCGGGAAGCCACTGGTAACCAGTGATGGAAGAGGACTGAATAACACTGAATTGTATGAATAAGAATCATATTGGGATGTTTGCTGAAATTGATTAGATGGCCCGACCACGTATTCTCCTGATGTCGTGCATGTGTATATACAGGAACGTAATGTTGCTGGAATGTCGGCAGTGAGGGAAAGTTGACTGTCGAGTGTCACACCAAGGTTCCTAGCAGTCTGGAAGGGGAAAAGAAGTTCAGTCTTGTCAAGGTTAATCTTCAGGTGGTTTGCGGCAATCCACTGAAAGATGTCAGTCAGGCAGGCAGAGATTCGTGCTGCTACCTGTGTCTCTGATTTGTGAAAAGACAGGAATAGTTAGGTGTCATCAGCATAGCGATGGTAGGAGAAGCCATGTGGGTGGATGACAGAGCCAAGACCCAGGACAGAGCCTTGTGGGACCTTAGGGGTGAGAGTACAAAGTTCAGATAAAGATCCTCTCCAAGTTACCCAGTAAATGCGGTCATTGAGGCAGGATGAGAGAAGGGAGAGAGCAGATCCTTAGACACCCAGTTCCTCAAGGGAGGAAATAAGGATCCGGTGGTTCACTGTGTAAAATGGAGTAGAAAGGTCATGAAGGATAATGACAAAGAGGCTGCTTTGGCAATGTGGATTGGATCAGAGACAGCAAGGTGGGCAGTCTCTGTTGTGTCCGGCCTTGAAGCCTGACTGAAGGCTGTTGTGGTGGCGATAGGAGGAGAGCTGGTTAAAGATAGCTCGCTCTAGAGTTTGGGGAAAAAAAGGGCAGAAGAGTGACATGCTTGTAGTTGTTTGGTTCAGATGGATTGAGGCTGGGTTTCTTTATCAACTTATATCACATAGTATCAAGCCCTTGTCTGAGTAGAGGCCTTAGACCCCTCCCCAGGTTTGATCAACTGACTTTCACACACCGCCCAGCCAACATCAAGGACCCTTCTACACAACCTGACTCCTTCTCAACTCTCCCAACCGCACGCCCAGCGGCGGGGAAGATCTGCAAAGACGATTACATTGATCATCACAGGATGAAGCATCGCCCTGACAACTGGTCATGAAATCCTTTCAGAAATTGGTGTTGACCACCTGAAGAACATCACAGAGCCTCATCTTCAACTACCGTCTCAGCCTTTCCGATCTAACAGACTGCAGCTTGTGGCGGTTTTGTTTCCGTGGTCAACTTTGTTCCTTTATTATTAAAGTAAACAAAGTTGCATTAAAATATTTTATCCCATTAGTTTCGGCCACATTAATCGCCTAGATTAACACGATAATTTTGATAGCTCTAATTGCTACGGTGACTTATTTATAACGTGTTAACATACCCAACGGTTTTAATATATCACCACATAAACAAGAACGACAGTTTTAGTGAAACATATAATGTTAAGGGTATTATTACTAGTATATTTACTAGTATATAAGTTTTTGTGGTACCTAAATCATCAATGTTGTTATTATTAAATCTTTGTTTCTGTCAGAAGTCCAGAGAGATGCTTCCTTGGTGGGCCTGGACTTTACCGGATCTCTTGCAGACCCCCAACCACAGACCACTTTCCCCCCGTACCACCGAGAGCCCAGCTACTTTGAGATTCCTACCAAGGACTTCCAACAGCCTAACACTTTAGGCTTGGAGCTTCATGAGATTCCCACCAAGGACACGGACATGCCTAGAGCCTCTCCTCCCCCTCCAACTGCGACCCCGCCGGTGGTCCAAAGCCACGCCTCTTTCACCATCGAATTTGACAACTGCATGCCCGGCAGGATCAAGATCAAGGACCACGTAACCAAGTTTACCACCCGGCAGGGGAAGCAGCAGGCCCCGCTCAACTGCCATGCCCTCACCAAAGCCACGCCCACGGACATGATGTCAGTGGAGAGCAAGGTGGCCGATTGGCTGGTCCACAGTGATGTCAGCCTTATGAGAAGACGTCCAACGTGTGAAGACACTTATAGCACCAAGAGCGACCTCGCCGTCAACATCAAGACGCTTAGAGGTCAGAGGTTACCCATAGCACCGCAAGGCGGATGGGAAGGTAACATGTCGATTAACAGAGTGTTCTCTTCTCATCAGGTCACCATCACGAGGACGGGACACAGAGCGACTCAGAGGACCCTGTACTTTTAGATGGAAGAAGTAAGTCTCACCACTCAATCAAATCAGAGCAGTCAGATGTGCCGCACCCATCAGAGTCCTCCGTCCATGTCCAGTCGCCTCCATCGCTGCCACCCAGCCAGCCGGTGCGGTTCTCTCCACTTGCACCTGCCCCTGCTCTACCTGTCCCGCCTGAGCGTCCTCTGTCCCAGAGTCCTCCTCAGGATCAGTGTCCCGCCACAGACAAGCCCAAACAGTGCCCCCCGGAGCACCTTTCCCAGCAGGCCTTTGTCATCGAGTTCTTTGACGACAACCCGCGCAAAAAGCGCTCACATTCCTTTACACACAACCCGGGCCACGCAGATTCCTACTCAGCCCTGAAGGCCAAGCTGGAGCGCCGGAAGGGCGGCGAGAGGCCGGCGTCCGTGCACGGTCACGTCCCCCCCACCCAGCAGGTGACGGTTCCTCTGAAGGGCCAGGGTCACGGCGGCCCCCAAAGGTCGAGCTCTCTGAAGAGGGAGAAGACCGAGGGGGATGCGGCCTCCTCCGCCTCCTCCTCTCGCTCCTCCTCGACTATCGCTGTCAAACCCTTCGGCAGCGTTGGGAAGAAGTCCAAGCTGGCTCAGGAGTTTGCTGCTGAGTTCTTGAAGGATTCTATGAGACAGGATTCCTCCCCGACGAACGATAAGATGCCGCCCCCCCCGATGTCTGCCCCACCGGTGATGATGTCGCCTCCTCGGGCCAGAATTCCCTCTCCCCAAGAGTCTCTGGCACCTTCCTTGGTGTCCTTTCCCAGTCTCCCCTTGCAGCCCCCGCATACGTCAAAGTCGTCGACCCTCCTCCATGCTGCTATTCAGAATCCCTCCCCAATCCACTCCTACGTTGCTCCTGTGTCCCCCATCCTGCCCTTGGGCATCCGGCTAGGAGACCCCAAAGTTTCCCCGAGGATGATTAGGAACGAGGAGGACGACAGCCTGAGTGATGCAGGGACCTACACCATCGAGACAGAGTCGCAGGACCAAGAGGTGGAGGAGGCTCGCAACATGATCGATCAGGTGACACCAAAGTGACCTTAAACTGTTGTTAGCGTCTCACCCGGCACAGGATTTTCTATGATGCAGCATTCCTGATTCATACTGCTGATGTACTGTAAAAGAGTAGCGACAATATTTCCTTGTGTAAAAGAGAAAGAACTCTTAGAAGTTGTATTTTTAAGTTCTGTTAACTTCAGTAAAAGACACAAATATCCTTTTTAGTGTCTTCGTTGGGGGTAGCGGTAAAGATTTGTGTTACCAACCCGAATGTCTACACCCACCGCCTCCCCCCCATCTCAAAAGCTATCAAAAGTAGTAATCAAGTAATCAAAATACAACTGTCATTACAAACATGGCAGAAAAGGGTCTTTAAATGTATCTGAGAGGTAGAAATATGTGTGTGTGCGGTGCTTGAATAAACAGTATGTTTTAAATGGCTTCAGGGACGCATGGAACCTCTTGTCCTTCCTGCTCTTTCCTGCCCCTCCTCATGCATGCCCTGTGCTCTGACAGGTGTTTGGTGTCCTCGACTCTCCAGAGTACAGTGGTGTGAACACTGGAGTCTATAGACCTGTAATAAATGATGGCAAGGATGAGCAAGCTAACCTGCCTAGCGATGGTAGCACTGTGGACCCGTTGCATGGCTTTATCCCAGCTGCTATCAGCGGCCCCCCAACAGGCCCCACGCAGGTAAAAACCAGTAAGAACAGGACCAGAACCTGGGAAAACACACCTGTGTAGCATGTTTTGATCCCAGTCCAAGAAGTTTAGGTTAATCCCTCAGATTCTCCTGGTACATCATTTATCCGACTCTTTGTCTCTGGTCCGCTGTAGTTCATTATGTTTTTTGCTCTCCAGGTTCCGTCTGCTCAGGCAACAGGTCCAGATAGACCGAAGTGGGTCTCACGTTGGGCCAGCCTGGCGGACGGTTACGCTGAGCCCGGCTCCAATGTGCCTCAAGGGGAATGCGTGGAAGGTACTGCTTCTGTCTCTGCAGTTTATAAGAAGATGATGTAACAAAGACTTGGTTATCAAACTTAAATATTGTTGTACCACATTTTTACCTTCTGGCAACCTGAGAGCCTTATTTAATATTAATTCTAATATTAAGTTAAACAATCCAATCTGATAATAATGCAGAACTAATAATAAGGCACCTCTTGATCCCCCATGTTGGAGAGCAGATAGACTCCTGTGATCTTGTACTGTATTTATATTAGTTCAGGGCCTTAAAACATGTTTTAAAGTATATATAGTATATTTATGATTGTTTAATTTGAAAAACTAAGATGACCTGAATTGTATTTGTAGATTTGCACTTGGTGAGCCGGTCTATGGTGAATTACAGCTACGATAATTCAGAGTCAGAGTCCAGCCACAGCTCCAGAACCAGAAGGCTGCTTCCCCAGGTGCCTCCAGAAAAGCTAGACAGCGTTTCCCCAAGTATCCTGATCTGCCACGAGGGCTTTCAGGAACCTCTGGATAGGGTCTCCAATCCTCCATGTCCACAAGACTCCACCCTGCGCCTGTGCGTTCAGGATGATGTGGACCCGGACAGCCTGAGCGACGCCAGCCGTTCAGATGACGGGCCGGTTCTGGAGAACATAAGAAAAAAACAGCCGATGACCGGATCTTTGTCCATGGGGGTAGCCGGTCCTCCGTTCAAAGATCCAGAGAAAGTGTCTCCCTCCTCCAAACCCACCTGCTTCTACATTGGGTCTGACGACGGTCCGGGAAAATCCGACCAGGCTTGGAGCCCGGTGCAGTCCGAGAGGATCCGTGACCCCCCAACGAAACCCCCCGCTACCACCGTGCTGATCCGACACCTCAGCGGGCATGAACCCAGGAAGGCCGGCGTCAAACCCAACAGCTCCGCTCCCAACCTTAAAATACAGGACAAGGATTACGTCCCCACTAGAGACATCTGCGTGTCCTCCATTGTCCGGCAGGACAGCTTCACCAAGGACCGGCCTAGCGATACCGTACAGATGAAGAAGCTTCCACACATCTCCAGCCACCCATCCCTCAGAGACATGGAGCAGAGAAGGGAGGCCGTCCAGGACACGGGGTCCTTCCTTCGGGAGGGAACTCCGACCTCCCTGGACTCTAAGTTACCCTCGTCTGGCTCTGGTCGTAGCTCGAAGAAAGGTGGCTCTTCCACCCACATGGACGACTCCTTGTCCAGTGAGTCGGACGTGGAAACTGCGAGCACTGTGAGCCAGGTTAGCAGCAAGAACGCCCCAATAGGCTCTACTTCCAAGAAGTATGCCCCCATTGGCATCCTCCAGAAGGAGAAGTCCTCCTCTGGCTCTTCGGTCCAGCAGAAGGGACGACAGCTCTCCGCCCGCGAACGTCTATCTGAGAAACGCCGGAACCAGACGACCATGGACCCGTCCAGCAAGGCAGAGGCAGCAAAGCGCTTCCAGATGCGGCGCAGCACGGGGACCCGCGGATCTCTGGACCTCTCGGAGGGTAAACGGGGTTCTGCTCAACACTGGACCGAAACTACATCGTCCGACCATGAGATCTCCCGGCCTACTGGGCGCGGCAAGAAACTGGTCGCCCCTCTTCAAAATGAAGATGGCGGGAAGACACCCAGGGCCGCGACCCAGCAAGTTCTGACTCGGTCCAACAGCCTGTCGGCGCCGCGGCCTACCCGGGCCTCCATGCTCCGCCGGGCCCGCCTTGGCGAGACCTCGGACAACGAAGGTGCCGAGACAGACCGGGGCTCCCAAAACTCCGACCACGTTGCGTCAACGTTCAAAGCGCCGGCCGACGGGAGGAAGCTGTCCCGACTAGACATCCTGGCGATGCCGAGGAAGAGGACCGGCTCTTTTACAGCTCCCAGCGACACAGAGACCTCTTCCGCCGGCCGCTCTGCTTTCTCCAACCGCAACTCAGAACCCGGCACCCGGATGAGGTCCATGGGCGACACCCGCCAGACCACCAGTAAAGGGGGAGTACTTACGGGGAAGCAATTGCGGACCCGGTCTAGTGGAGCCAAGTACACCACTGCCGGTGAGTCCTGGCTACATTCATATAATCAGCTTCTCCAATATTGACATCTGGTCGTTTTAAGGACTTCCCTCTAACATATGTCACTTCTGATGATAAGTCTTATATACATAATTTATTATTTATACAAAGAATACATTTTTGTTAAATCTATGTACTGCGGTTACCAAGCAAACACAGCTTAGCAGATTGGTCTCTCATGTCGTCTGCCATGTTTGGAAAATGTGACTTTAAAAACCAACCATATCCTGGCTGTTGATGTAACAAACCAACATGGAAATGAATCTAAATGTTCTCCAGGTTCCCGCCGCAGACAGAAGGGGTCAGACTCCTCCTCCTCCTCTGAGGACGAGTGCCCAAACAGTGCCGTGAATCTCAAAACCAAGCGCTCCTCCCACCTGCCTTCCGCCGCCCAGACGCAGCGCCACCGGACTGCCGGCGCCCGATCCAAGTCTGTATCCGTGGAGACGGAGGAGGACGCGGACCCGAGCGAAGTAGACCCGTATCAGAACTGGTCCACACACAGCGCCGAGATCGCCAAGTAAACACCAACAACAAAAACAACGAGAGTTATGTTTGCTGAAGGAGTCTGTGACCCCACCCCGTTTCCTCTACAGGCTCAGCCAGGATCTGGCTAAAGATCTGGCCATCCTGGCAAAAGAGATCCACGATGTCGCCGGAGATGGAGATGGAGATTCGCCCAGCGTAGAGAACACCACCTACCCCAACACGCCGGCCTCCACCATCTCCGCCAGGGAGGAGGTTGGTGAAGCTACACCACCACTATTAGAAAAAAAACACCATCCACTGCTACACCATCAACCGCTACTCCACCACACATTCAGTACCCCGTCACAACAACACCACCACCTCCCCAAAACGCCAGGCTCCACCATTGCTGTCAGGAAGGAGGTGGGTGAAGCTACTGCTACACCACCACCGCTAGTTTTGCACCAAAAGGAGATCATACAGCTACATGACTCGACCCACTAAACGGCCAGATTTACAACACCCCCACCACTACCACACCAGCCAGGGCTCTACAGTGCAAGTATTTCACTCACATTTGCGCCTAAAAATAGGTATGTGCGAACATGAAAAATAATTTAGGAGCACAGTGTGCGAGTGACGGGCTGTTTTCAATTCACGGAACAGCGCAATGAAGTGAAGCATACCATTGATTTCCCATTTAAAGGGACGAAGGTCGCGACTGCACGATGTGAACATAGCGTAATGACGCGCTTAACTTTATGAAAATGAGAGCGACGATTCGTGATCAATGGGCCAGAGGCAGGCCGGGGGGGGAATCGGGAGAGTTCCTGGTGGGCTGTTTCACCAGTCGACAATTTTATGTTTTGACATTTGTCACCTTTTCTCTTAAAGTAGGCTACACATGACACCACAGCCTCTGCATGAGTTGTACCATGTGAGGAAGTTCTCCCCTCCCAAATAGCTGGTTGGATCCATAGCACGTCTTTTCCAAAAAGTTTTCTCAGATAGGCTACCGATAACTGGAGCGGTCCTCCCGCAACAATATGCGTCAGGGAGGATGGACGGAGAAAGAGGCCACGAGGGGCTGAACAAAAGAAAGACATTGGAGGAGGATGCTGCCAAATATGCCAAGCTTACTGATTTGTTTTCAACTGGTAAAGAGAGACATAGGCCTAATGATTAGCAACGTAACTATTCGGCTAACGTTGTAGCGTTGGTTAATATCACTGTAGCGTTGTCAACCTATTCGTAAGCAAAATATTAAATTGGATTAGAAATATTAGACTTTTTATATCACCCACTATATGGTGATCTATAGACAAATATTATGCAAATATTGATAACAAAACTGAAACTCGATCTGTGCATACAGTAAAATGACTATTTTTCTTTGTAGCTTCTGAGCAGCAGATGAGCCTCCTGCCTGAAATTTGCAATGAGGAGGCCATGACTACAGGGACAAGTAGAGAGGATAACAGAGTAAACAATATGAATTAAAGAGCAGTATATGGCAGTACTTGATGAACCAATATGCATTGTTTGCTCAGAAGTGGGTGTAGTAAAGGAGTCAAATTAGTGAAGAATAGTCTACGAAGTTCATTGAGTCAAGACGACTTGGAGGCTTTCATGTTAATGTGCACAGAGAAGGAAATCCTCACGTCTATAAACAACGACGTTCCAGACAAAGTGGCTGAAACCAGTGCTGCTCAGGCGCTTACTGATGCAGCAGATGCTGTTGGTGCTGTTCACAATGTAACTGGGTACTGTTTCTGTGAGTTGAACTGTAAACATTAGATCAATATGCCTCTTTGTTGAAGAGTGGGATACGTTACAAATGCTTTATTTATTTATTTCTGCTTTTGTTATCAACTTATCCTTGTGGAATAGTGAAATATTTTGGTTAACTTCTCAGTTTAAGTGGATTATTATTTAACCGTAACATTATTTGTTGAACCATGGTATTAATGAAAAAAAACACTACAGAATAGTAGTCCGGCCGTGGCCAGAGCCATGTAAAAAAGTGTCGCAATTCTCTTTTCCTGTGGCTCTGCAATGGGCCCATCACTGAAATTGTGAGGGAATGAGCAGGAACTGCTGGATTTTAAGTGAGCCAAGTGAAGTTTACATTGCAGACATCAAAATGAAGAACATCAAATTTTATTTTCAGCGAAAAGGAGATGAAGGCAAAGAGGAATCAGGTGAGGGGCATTTGGAAGATTCAACTAACGTGAAAGAGGTTTGTTCACAATATTTAGAGCTACCAGAAGCTGAGAACAACCTTAGCGAACCGGCTACAGTGACTCCAACTGGCACGACTTCCACGTCCACTGGAGCCGGCAGAGGGAGAACATACAGGCCTATGAAAGCATAAAAAAGGCGCTATCCTTTGCATTTAGGTGCAGCGTATGCATACACTTTGTTTATTAAACCAATACAATAAAAAAAACACTGTGCTCCTAAATTCTCTCATTTAGGAGCACGTGTACTCCTTGGGGAAAACATTAGCGTAGAGTCCTGCCAGCGTATCCAGGAGACCACCATTGTTGTCCTCATGGTTAATGTCCGATGAATCCTGATTAGCTTCAGGGATTTGATGGATTTTTTTGTTGTGCTGCCCAGCGGGCATCTTATCCATACCTGTGTGGGGTCGGACCAGCTCAGGTGTCTTACTCTAATTCCATCATGCCCCTCCCATCACTGATCCAAACATTCCCCTCCCACCAGTTGGATTGTTCTGAAGCACAAGATTTTCCGATTTGAGTTGTTCCGATTCGACAGGTGAACTACTCTTTCTGACTCTACCCAACCAGACGGACTCTACCAGACTATATCCGACTCTGCTGGACTTTTTCCAACTCCACTGGTCTTTACCGGACTCCATCTGACTCTATCAAACTCTACCAAACTCACATATTTATTTCAGTCTGATTCCTGATCAGATTTGTTTTGCGTTTCCATTAACTTCCATTGGCCTGCACCATAAATGAACTGGCTTGACTGGTTTTGTGGTTTTCATCGAGCTTTGCCTGATGACCAGTATGACCCTCCTGCACTGCTAAACCTCCCTGTTACTGTGACATGTTGTATCCCAGCACCACCAAAACTCACTGCCCTCCTCCATTGAGCTGCACGTTGCATGTGGCGTTTAAGCCTGTCGCTCTCAGTTCGATACCCAATAATCAGCAGTTGAATCACCGGATCCCTTTACTCTCTTTCCAGCTGGTCCAACATATCCCTGAAGCCAGTTTAAATTACCAGAAGGTTCCTCCGGGTTCTGCCGCTGTCTCGGACCTGGACTTGAACATGAATGAGCCGGCGCCCGGTTCAAAGCACCGCCGCCCGTGCAACCGTGAAGAGGTCACCGTTTAATCCCTGAGGCAGCGCCCATGTGTTTATTGGGATTTAATAGAACTCCTAAAAGCAAAGTCCAATGAACTTCCCAACAGCCAACTTGTTGTCAGCTAGCTATCTTATGACCTGTTGTTAGTCTGACTCTGTTCTCTAGGTGACGTTAGTCTAGTGCCCCTAGACGCTGAACTGCTCCTTACAGCCACAATATACAAATACTATAAATAAGTAAATATATATATATATATATATATATATATATATATATATATATATATATATATATATGTATGTCTAGGTGGAGATACACTTGTAAGTTTTGGCGCTAAAGGTCATTGAGTTGTGGTCTTCAGGGATCAGTAGAGTTGTAATGTGCTTGCTGATATCCAGACTCCGGCCCTTTTAGAGATAAAAAGACTTTACAATACTATAACAGTAATATTTTTATCTTCCTGAGCCTGCAGTGTGAACATTTGTAAAACTCATCACACTAAAGGAGACTGATGCAGTTAGTTTTGGTGCGCTGGGAGATCAGAAGGTAAAGCTGCCGTTGATGTCAGTGGTGACGTCTCACACTCACGTGGTTCCCCCTGTACGAACGCGGGTGATTCTGGGACAACCTGATGTTGAACCCTGTGTCCCAGCTGTCTCAGGCCATCCGAGAGAACACAGGAACAGCTGGCAGAGAAAATGAAGTAAGGGAGACTTTGATGAGGGTTTGCTAAACCTTTAGGAACAGGGTGCCCTATAGGTTCATCACCACAGCATTGCTGATAGA